AAATATTTTGGGTGCAGTGTATTTTTTACATACAGGTATAACAGAATAGCTTTAGTGTTGTTGTTTATTTAAACTTGAGTATGAACTTATACAAAATGCATCAATATATTAAAAAACAGTTTTATTGATTAAAAAACACACTATATCGGATTCATATCGGTATTGGCAGCTATCCAAATTTATGATATCGTTATCGGTATCGGACATAAAAAAAGTGGTATCGTGCCATCTCTAGTTTTAATTTTAAAAAAATAATTATCTCTTTCTAAATCATTACAATTATGTGATCTAACTGGTACTGAAAGAGTTACATTTCAAAAGTATGTCTTTTTGCCCCCTTTTCCCTGTTCATGCCCTATCGGCGGTAATAACATGGGAATGGAAGTGCCACTGGTTGCCTTTCCTCATAAGAGCCATCCCTCAAGATTTCCTCCATTTAAAGCAATGCATTATCAGGGATTGTAACATCTAGTCCTTTTACTGAATATGTTGATTCATGTTCATTATGTTCATTCATGTTTTCTTCAGTTTTTGTTCTACTGCAGAATATTTTTAAGGCTATCTGCTATTAAAAGCCAGGTCAGGCTGATGATTAAGTTTAACATTGCCTACAATATTGCCAAGGGGTGCCAAAAAACTTTAAGCACAAGCACTTTTTCAGTAACTTATCTTTTTTGCAGAATGGTGCTCCAAATAAAGAACTTTGTGTTCACAAGATTGTTAGTTAATCATTTACAAATCAATATTGTTTGTATGCACAGCAATTTAAAAAAAGTGAATATGTAAAACAGTAGGGTTGAGCGATTCGGGTGAAAAAATTGGGTGCACCTAATTTTTGTGCTGGTGCACCTAAGAAAAAAAGTTAGGCGCACCAGTGCAATCATGGCAAAAAGTTAGTCTGGAGCCCAGTACATAACAGGAAAACACCTTCATCGCAGGGCATCCTCCCCATGTTTTCTTTTTCCTCTGTTATGAAAACACACTGCTGCAATTGTTGGCCTCTCCGATTTTCTCAAAGAACATGAAATCTTGCAGAGCAACGCCAAAAGTATTAGATTGTTTTATTCAGCAACACACCACATATTTCAAAATCAACATTGTCCATCTACATTGCGAGGAACGAGGAAGCAGGCACCCATCAGCACAGCTTTCATCTTCACGTCCAAGTCCAGCGGGAACTGGATGCCAAAGTTACCGGTGTCAGTGAAGGTTTCCTTCAGAAGGCCGCCCCACTGCCTGCTGATGCGACCAATGGAGGTGTCGCCATCTTTCCCCTTGAGCTGAACAACAATAAGAATACCAGCGTTCGTTAGCCACAATTGCTTTCTTAAACACTCAAAACTGTTCACATTGTTGCTGATTTGTTTAAATTTGTTTTGCCTTCTTACTGAGAAATATGAGCTTAATGTGCAGTTAGCTTACCAGGAGATAAAACAGCTTTTTTGGTTCTGTATGAAAGGTAACACAATCTTACCATCAGTACCACTAAGGATCATTCACTTTGTGTCAAACTAATGGGAAAAATGTGTTTCCATGAATGCTCTTTAGTGTTGGAAAATTAACTGGACGAGTGGGAGAAAATACTGACAAGCAAGTTCACCAAGACACAAGAAGATTACGTAATAAAGAAAATCTCAAGCACAATCTTTGTGCAAACAGATGACAAAAATCAGGCTCTGCTGCAATCCTGGCAG